ACTTAAATCTAATGGCTTATATAAAGACTGAGAAACACATCGCTTTAAAATAACAGAAAGTCAAATAAAAATCAGAATTCTCCCGATGCCCTAAATGTGCTACCTCTTTAAATTGTAACTTAGTGAAAAAAAAAAGACGTTTAACTGTGAGTTTGATTAGCGGTCTTAGCTAACATGTAGCAGATATTAACAAGTAATAGTTTAATAAGAAACCAACCAGAGCTACTCCACTATTTGAAACTATTTCAAATTTTTAATTTGTAGTATGTAATTTTATAGAGAAAAAAAGTCACATATTTCTAATCAAGATAACTTTCTGGACAAATTTACAGGCTTAGTTTTGCTTTAAAAATAGCTCTATGTCTTTTTCTTCATTGTTGTCATAGTGAGAAGATAATGTTTGGACAATATTTTAGTTTATGCGAGTCTGGAGTTTATTTTCTAAAAGAACGAATTAATTTGAATTTATTATATTTTACTAGGTTTACTGGTTAGATAAGTTAACATTACTTTATTTAAAATTTTATGATTATAAATGATATGCTGAACTAATGTGGATTTCAAATATTTATTATATTTGCAATTGGCCTCGTGACTTTTCTGCCCTCCTCCTCCCTCTAACATGCAGACGACTAAAAGTGACAGAGAGGAGACTGAAACCCACATGGCTACACCCACTTGGTTATGAGACCAACGTCGAGTTGTTGAGAAACCGATGTCGCATATGGTCAGGAAATGCTGACTCACGGCGGGGGTGCCGATGGCAGGTGACCCACAGTCAGCCAGCCACAAATGCTCCCCAGACAACCTTGAGAGGTTTTAGAGAAGCACTAATCGTTTTCCTTAAAAGTCCTCTTTGGTCTTTGCAAGAACAGATGTTCCATACTGAGCCCCTTTCTCCCGAAGATAACGCACGGCCACGATCCTGCAGCTCCTAGCCAGTCTGCGGACTTGCTCTCTCCTCTTCCTGTTCTATAAATTATCTTTTTAGACTTTGTTGGACAAAATGAATCTATTGCTAGACTCACTTATACACAAGTACATGATGCGCAAATAGTTAAGTAGACGCCTTTGAGTTCCTCTGACAGTCCTACCCCTCTGAACAGCAGGGTGGTCAGACTCACTCAGGGAGACGGGCTGAGGGTTCAGTGAAACACCCCCCCAGAAGCCGCACGGCATCGCCGCATGATGGCCAAGTACGGCCTCTGGAAGAGGCCTGGACGAGCTCTGCCTTCGGGGATCTCCAAGTCCCTGGCACACGGTTCGACGGGACTTTACCGCCCCGTGGTCTGTGGCCTCCTTCGCTCCCCCCTCTCTCATGTTCCGCAGCCCAGTTGGCCCACACCCTGCTTTCCCCGGCCTCCTGCCTCCCACGCATGCTGGCCCTCTGCCTCTGAAGCCCCGTCCTTCCTGCCAAGACACTCCCACTCATCCCGCAGGCACCTGCTTGGTTGTCACCTTCCTCACGGGATTTCTCTGACCAGCTCCTCCCAGTCGATCTGTGTGACCTCAGCAGTTTGCACTTGATAGTCATTGCTTGTCTAGGTGTCACCCCAATAGGCTCTGAGCTCTGATTTGGTCACCACAGCATCCACAGGGGCCATTGCTGAACCTGGTACACAGTAGGTGCACAGCAAGAATTGAATTAATAACTCATTCGATAAATCGTTTGAATGCCTGCTGTGCACCAAGCGCTTGTGTTCATACTCGGTGAACTTTACAAGCACTCAGTCCTTTCCTCGGGGAGCTGGGGCTCCAGTAGAGTAAAATGTAGAAAACACGGTAAGTTAGCAAGATATCTGGTCTGTGAGCAGCCGAGCACCACGAAGAAGAAATGAAACAAACCAGAGCTGGACGAGGGAGGGCGCCGTGGCAGCGGGGGGGTTGCGAGCGGGAGCCGAGAACAAATGCTGAGCATGGGGGTGCAGGGGGAGGGGGTGGGGGCTCCGTGGATCCAGATTCTGCCGTGAAAACCTCGAGACGGTCGACGTTTGCTGGAAGATAATATCTGTTAAAATAAAATCAGGTTTGCCTTTGCTTGCTTGTCAAAAGAAGGAGGAAAAAAACGCATTTGATAACACCCCAAGACATAAATTAAGCATGGGTTTGGATACACTTCCTCCAGATTTCCATTCGACTTGTTTTAAAAAGAGAGTGGAATGATGTCATCTGCCAGCCGCCCAGAGGGACAAGCACTAGACTGAGGGGAGGCTTCTGGGAACCGCTATGGCTGCTCCACGAGCTTGAACTCTTCAACTTGTCCTGGTCCCTCACAAGCAGCTCTGCGAGGCTCGCCTCAGGGCGCTCCGCCTGTCGCTGTGGCTCCTCGGTTAAACGCCCCAACCCCCTTTCCTCACCTGACAAGTCCCTACTCACCCTTCAGACTTAGGTCAAATGTAAGTTACAGGACACCAGCGAGATCACAGTCGCCCTTTACTTAAGACTCAAATGTCAGGGGGTGTGGTTAACCATCCAACAGCTGTGTCACCTGGGAGACCCAACCTCTCCGAGACTGCGTGTCCCCATCTGGGAATCAGGGAGAATGAAGGGAGGTGCCACATAATGCGGGTGCTGAAAACACCGCCTGGCACAAAACAAAGCCCAGTGAGCACAAGCCATCGCCGTTATTGCTGCTGTCGTCAGAGTCACATACAAGTCAGGTTTCTGGTGAATTGTAGGAGTCAGTTAATCAGTCTCCCTCTCTTCTCACAGGAGGAGCAAGTGGGTTTTAGACATGTCTTTTCCCACCACTGGTTACTGCTGGACATGGCTGCATCTCAAAGGAAACCAGTTGCACGTGAGAGGTATGGGAAGATAGATATTTTTAACAATCGTGGAAGGATCAATAAGAACCTGGCTAAAACCTTTTTTTCTCTGAGCATAAAAATATTAAATGTCATTGTAGAATTTTGTAAAAGAGAATTATATAAAGAAGAATAAAATAACTCCTAAAAATGTCTCCTTTTTATGTGTATGTGACACATATGAATATGTGGATATATGTCAATGTATACATGTTACACTTATAATGAGTATATGCCATATACAAAGCAAGCATAGGTATCATGACATATATACATGCACATATATAACATATATGTATATACACGTATAAAATTTTCTAGGTAAGATGGTTAGAGACAATTTTTTGTACATGTATTATTACTTATGTCATTAGTCCTCAGTTATTGGCTGTTTAGATTAGTCCCATTTTATGTATTATAAGTCATGCAAATCTCACATCTTTGTATATAAGTCTTTGAATATTTGATTATTTCCTTAGGATAGACTTATAGAAGTAGTAGAAATGCTAGATCACAAGGCATAACCATTTTTAAGGTTCTTAATATATACATTGCCAATTGCTATCCAGAAGGGCCATGCCAATTTATAATTCCAATGTAACATAAAAATTCCTGTGTTACAGCACTCATATTTACATGGGGGATTTTTTTTTTTAATTACTGTTAACTAGATAGGCCAAAAGAAATTTTTTTTTGAAATTTCATTTCTTTCATTATTAGCGAGGGTGATTTCCCACCCCCCACGTTTTTATTAGCCACGACCTCATAAGCAACAAACCGCTGCTAGAGAGAGACGTAATCGCAGCTGTTCCGTGGGAGAGCGCTATACGAAAAATAAGAAGGATCTGAGGTTAAGATTTTTAAAAAGCCCTAATATTAACAGGTGCTTCCTCTGCCCAGGACTCGGCTGGAATAATAAACTGCACTGGGCAATGTTCATTTGAAGCTACTTTTACCTACATTCTCTCTTATAAGGTTCCTAACCACTCCACGAGGAGGACTGGCCTGGCTCTGGCGACAGGGCAACTGCACTAGCAACACCCAGACTCTCTCCTCAGGTGGCTCCCCACCTGCAGAATAACTGACAAATTTCTCAGGCAGGATTTGGGGATC